TAAAAAAAAGCAAAAAACATCGAAACATGCACTAAAAGATGAAATATGCAATTAAAATTATAAAATAAACCCTTAAAATAGAAAAATGCCGAAAAATGCAAAAATATGAGCTAAAGAAGTTTCATTTTTTTAATAGTTATGTCGTGAAACAAATTTTGTACTCACTTAGCATATTATAAGATCAACCAGAATAAATATGCAAATGCATACAAATCTGCGCTCTATACTAATCAGTACCTATTGCATTTTAAAGTAATTAATATAAGAAAAATGAAGCCATCATATACCAACATTTAGTAAATATTATATTTGTATTGRGTTAGACGTTGGGATTTTTGGACAGAACTATAAAAGTCAAAGTTTGCTGGCTAGATATACGTACATCCATTATTTTTAAATGTGAATTATTACATAATATTAATCGAAGTCGCATGATTTATATGATATCTTAAATAACACAATTTAAATAAAATTTCAGATGACACTAATAGGTAAGTCAAAATTATTAATAACTAATAAGTAATATTATATTGTAAGTTGTTGTAGACTTAGTGTTATAATTTATTATATTAACTTAAATAGAAATAGGAACATATACGATATACATAGGTATTTACAATCCAACAATTCAAAAAGATTAAAATATGAAATGAATATTTTTAAGTAGGTATAATATAAATGATAGCTATTATTTAGCGAATCTTTTAGACCTTAGTATTTTATAATACAATTGTAGTTACAATTTAATATATAAATTAAAAAAACCTTCAAAATCGACCGTAAATTATTATTAATGAAAACTGTATATAATTCGTAACTATTGTAATACATAAATAATACGAGTATAATGGTAATGGTAGGTTTAATTTCGAAAACAATAGAAATTATGGTATAATAATAAAAAATAGCTGTTGTTAAGTTGCAATTTTTAAGTAATAGAGTACTAAAATCGTAAACTATTGTTAGATCTATTCTATGAGTTGTACTAAATTAAGAAAATCTTATTATTTTCGAAAAATTTTTCGTGATGGTAGCCAGGATATAAATTAAAATATATAATACAATTATACTTTGGTACATCATTTATCTGCCACGAAGTCTGCACTTTGAATTTATTAATATAAAATTGTAAATGCARAATGTGTCGGTACAGGACATAATAGGTATGTTAAATTGGTTTTTTCCTATGTATGATATTATGCACTAATATTTTTTTCCAACATTCGTCATTAYATTTTTAACCATCATATAATTCTGAATTATTAAAATATTATTGTTCCAAGTAATTACTTCTATGTATAATTAGTTTATTCTGTTATATAAAATAATTAATATATAATGAATAATGATTATTAAATTTTATATTTCTTGTAAATGATCCTTTGAAGTGTATTGTAAAATTATAATGACCTTCAGAGACCAAAGTAGAAGTACCTATAGTAGTATAGTTGTGTAGTAGTAGTAGTAGTAGTAGTACTGTTGTTGTAGTAGTAAATAATATTATTATGATTATTCTCTATATAATATATCTCCGAGTGGATGTTTTTAGTTCATTTACCGTCTACTCACGTATTGGTTCAGACACCTTAGATATCAGCTTTACCTGTAGTAGGTAATAGGCTATTGGTTAACTAATTTTCAAAATACAAATATGTGGCACTTTAGCTTGTGCTTAGTAAGTAACCATTTTTACATACATAAACATTTTTCTTTCTAAAATTCTTTTGGTTTATTAAAAATAAAAATGTAACACTCTTCACTCTATAGATATGTATCACGGTCGGCGTTTCTGCACAAATATCAAATGTCGATCAAGCCATGAAAAATCAACAAGTTGTACCTCACGTAATTCCAGATGCTCCAAAAGAAATTATACAAGTAAACGAATAAAAAAACATAACATACCTACAAAAWAATTATTTTAAATCGAAAACATTAAAACCATATTTTAGGTAAATTATTTGAGTGGCGCGGAAGCATTACTTGGCAATGAACTTACACCTACTCAAGTGAAAGACCAACCGTCAGTTAGTTGGAATGCTGACCCTAGTTCATTTTACACGCTATGTTTGACCGGTATACATTGAATAATTTTATTTTAACATATTATACTAAGATATTTTTAGTTACTATTATTTTAAATTGTTGCTTTCAGATCCTGATGCTCCGAGTCGCGCTGAACCTACAATAAGAGAATGGCGTCATTGGTTGGTGGGAAACATACCCGGTGGAAATGTGAACATGGGAGAAACACTTACCGGATACATAGGTTCTGGACCTCCACCAAAAACAGGTATTATATAATGATTAATGAATCTATTTTATATATAGATTTATGACTAGGTACCATAAGTGTCCAAGTAACTGTTAGGTCACGAATAAGAAGRTGTTTTATTCTTTTATTATATATGATTCTATAATGTTCATGGATGCGATCAGTGATGTCTATTTTTTATCCTTCTTATTGGCTTCAGAATGAATCATAATATTATGTCGATTATTATTGAGCCATAATTTAATTACATTTGATGTTGATTAGTCACTCAAAGTTGGCACGTTAACTTTAAAGTAAATGAGTATCTTAATTATTCTTTAATATTCTATTATCTGGTGACTAGATCTTTC